GGGTGCGTGAGAGCGGGCGCCGCCCCCGCCTAGGGGGCCAGGAGGCGAACTCGCCCGCTGTCGCCTGTGTGCAGCCGCCGTGAGTATGTTTTGGGGTACAATGGGGTTCTCTGTTCTCGACCAATCCACCCCGAAGCAAAATGGGAGGGGTCCCGGCGAAGGGAGCTTGACACCCCGCTGGTAGCTGCTGTGGACTCGGGGTGGTCGGGGTAATGTTCAAGGGCACCGAGAGGGGAGGCCTCGCAACTTTCCCCCCAGGATAGTGGTCCCCAAATGAGAGAATGAAAAGCTAGTAACCCCTCCCCCCAAAGAAAAACCTAAGTGTCCTGCTGTCTCCTCTGATGCCCGGACCCTGGGACCCTGAGCAGACCCCAGTGCTTCCCGCAGACCGGTGGAAGTAGTGGATGGACAGCTCCGACCACGAGCAGGGGGCTGTTCCCAGTAGGGAGCAAGTGGAGGACAAGTCGTCCACACCACGGCGGAGGAACCTTTGAAGTCTATGGCCACACTGCGTCCCCTCGGCCTGGCGGGGAACCCAGACCCGAGAGCATTCCCAGGGACGCCGAACCCAGATTCTTTCTGGCTCCTTTGATAGCCAGCAGAGGGCGTACATTCCCAGGTCCCACCAGCCGCGCTGGTTTCTAAGGGGCTGCAGACCCAGGAGGAATGTAATCATTGTGTATTGCAAACATGTGCCAATAAAAATAAAAAGAGAAATGGCTGGAGGGACGCAGGGTAGAAGCGGGGCCTCTGAACCAAAGAATTTTAGGCCATCGTTTTGGTTTTCTAGGGTATTGGTGCCAAGTTGTCACCACTATCACCCGTCCCTAGGCACAAGCCGGGAAGCAGACAGCATCTCTCACAGGTGTGCAGGGTTGAGGGGTGGGGTGAAGGAGGTGAGGGAGAAGCGGAAGAAACCTGGCTTAGCCAGGGAAGCCTTGGTCTGGGGAAGGAGGTACAGAATAGAAGGATCTGCCGGGTCTCCACCATGTCCTGGGAAGACGAATTGTGTGGGAGAAAGGGAGAAATAGCAATGCTGAAAAAGTAGACCTGTCCTTCTCCGGAGTGGTAGGAAATTTCCAGGTACGACCCCCAAACCTCTCCCATCTCGCCTGCCCTTTGGTAATGTGACAGTGACTCCTTCCACTTAGAGATGGATGGCGTCTTGTCTGAGCTGGCCCTTTAATAGATGCAATAGAAATAACGTGATATGGTTTCCACATTTGAGATACCTTGCTGATCTATTTCTGTCCTCCTGGGGCCAGCTACCATGCACAGAAGTATGGACTGCCCTCCTGAAAAGGCCACGTAGTGGTGCATGTCTGTAATCCCAGCACTTGGGAGACTGGGGCGGGAAAATTGCTGAGCTTGAGGCCCGCCTGAACTATGTATTGAGATCGTGTCTCAAAACAACAACAGAAAAGGCCACATGGTGAGAAGAGGCCCTGCAGGGTAAGGAGCCAGGAAAGGAGCTGAGGTATAGCTGAGTGGTAGAGTACATTCTTAGCATTTGTGAGGCTCTGGGCTCGATTTCCAGCACACAGAAAAGGGGGAAGTGGAGGAGGAGGAGGAGACCCAGTGGAGAAGAACTGAGGTTCTCCAGGTGGCTTTCAGGACTAATTGTCAGACACATGAGTGAGGATATCTTGGTTCCAGCCCAGGCCTCACTCCCAGTGCAATTCAGCTATGTGACTCAGGCCAACAAAGGCAATAAAACCTTCCTGCTGAGCCCAGCCAACTCATGGAATCATGAAAAACAACTAATTGACATTGTTTAAGTGCTAAAATTTGGGGTAACTCATCACGCAGCAATAAAAAATTGAAAGTTTAGGCAGAGGTTGATTATTCACAGGTTCTTCATGGGAAAAGATGTGGTCACTTGGGGAAAACATGTGGAGTAATTATTTGGTTGGAGACAAGCAAACATTTGATGATTAGGTGAGCCGTCCCCACTCTCAGTGGCTTTGACCTGTGTGGCTGGCTTGAAGAGATGACCTGGGCCAATCAAACTCTTGTTCCTGGGGAATTTGGAAATAGGGGCTAGGTAGTCAACCTCAAAAATGACTGGGGATGCTGTGAAATACACTTGACTCCCAGGAGACCCAGATGCACCTGGACAAACTGAGGTTGTACAGAATGTCAAACAGAAAAAGTGGGGTAGCAGAGCAAGGCAACCAACACGCCCAGCTTTCCATGGCTTTCTCCACATGGCTTCACCAAAGGCCCTACCGAAGAGAGTTGGTGGCTATGGCTTTTGCTTGACTAAGCTACCTTTCCCAACCTCTTTTAGTAATAAGCCCTGCTTCCCTGACTCCCTGGCTAAGAAGCAGCTTATGACCAAGACCTGACCAATTGTTTCCCTGGATCTGATGAATGATCCAGGGATGACTTCATGACCCCCTCTGGGTACTCATAAAGAATGCTGGGAGATTTGTCTCTTTTTCCTCTGGGGTTACTAATTTGGGATGATGTGAGCTTGGGGCCCATCTTTTCCCTTGGCAGTGAAAGGACCTGGAGGAAGCCCATCTAGAGGGCAACCAAGTCACAGAGAGAGAGTCAGAAGCAGGGAGGGAGAGGCTGCAATACCGAGCCTCTAAACCAGCAGGGTGGGAACTTCCCAGTTACATGAGCTGATAAGCCTTTCTTTCTTATCTAAACTCATTTGAGTTGGGTTTTGTTCACCTGTAACCAAAGATCGTGACTAATACATTCCCCTTTACTCACACAGACATGCAGAGGCCGGTGTTCCTTGACATCAGTGGATCCTGCCCAGACTTGGACTTGGCTTTAAGAGCTTTCCCCAGACCCTCTTTGGAAGGGTTAGCAAACTGGATCCTCAGCAGTTCTTTCCGCCTCTCTGGGCTTCTGTCCATCCTCTGGCTTGCCTGTCACGTCCTGAGAGCAGGCTGGGTGCAGTGGTTCCCTGGCTCTGTACTCCTGGGCACCAGCCAGCACTTTCCCCCCAGGTCTGGTATTTCTTCAGATAATTAAGCTGGGAACAGACCGCACACCTGAACTGCTCCCCTGGGCCACTCTGCAGCATGTGTGGCCCTGTTGGCTGGCATTCCTAAAGATCCCAGGCAAATGCCACCTCCTCCTCAAAGGCATCTCTTCCCTTTTCCCTTCACTCATCCCCAACACCACCGGGCAAGACCCTTTCTCCCCTGAAGCCCGGTTTGTGATTTTCTATCCCCCCTTCCATACTCTGATTTGGGTTCCCTCCCATGGCTCAGAAACCACAAGTCATATTGGGAGACCTGAGTTCAAATTCAAATTTACCAATTTCTGAGCCTTCATTCATTCCTGTGTCTTTAAAAAAAAATGGAGACACAGTTGGGCACAGTGGCATACAGCTGTAATCCTAGCTCTGGGAAACGGAGGCAGGAGGATGGCAAGTTTGAGTTTGAGCCTAGTCCGGGCAACTTAGCAACTGTCTCAAAAAAATAAAAAATAAAAAAAAAATGAAAGAAGGAAAGATAAAGGGCTGGGATTATAACTTAATGTGAGGGCCTTGGGTTCAATCCCTAGTACCACAAACAAAACAGAAACCCCTTAAGTGCGCTCAGCTGACTATGACAGACAGGGTACATGGGAGGGGTCAGTTGGAGGGTCTGAGGGACTTCACAGAGGACAAAGCCACTGCCAAAGGGAAATATGTGGCCCAGGGAGGGGCAAAGGCTTATTGTGTACAAGTACAGAGGCCTCAGACACTCCTCAGGAAAAGGGGGGAGAAGGGATGATTCAAGGTGGCTGGAGTGCAGGGTTCAGGAGTGTGATGTGAGGCTGAGAATAAGGCGGGTGCTGTTGTGCAGGGCCTTGAGAGACATTTAAGGTCCTGGTCACACCGAGGGCCTAGGGCTCATGCACAGCGGACATAGCCAGGTGCGTACTTGGGGAAGATTGTTCCAGTTTCCTGGTGTCGTTGAGACCAGACATAGGGCAAGGCTGAATGGGAAATGGCAAGCCAAGCCATTTGCATGAACCTTGGGCAGGGGCTGGGACTAGACCATCTCTCCTGTGCCGAGTGGCTTCAGCTGGGAATAGCAGCCTCAAGTTCTCAGACGTCTGAGTCACCTCCTCAGGTTACCCGGAGGCCAGGTCAGCCTCCTTCCTCTGTTCTAATTGCTTCCTGCAAAGGGAGCTGCCCCCTCCAAGTGTCCTTGAGGAAACCCTTGTAAAAGCAATCAAGCGTTTTGGAAAGAAGCGGGTACCTCCGGCTGCTGCTGCCCCAAATCCCTGCAGGGAGCAATGCCGCTCTGGATGCTGGGGAAATTCTGAGAGGAGCACTTCATCCCCACGGCTACCCCGCCACATCTGGGTCAGTTCTGGGGTCTCACGGCTGGAATCCTGCGGATGGTTTGCTTTGACCAGCAGGGCAGGTAGGGGCTGAAATCAGCCCGTATCTCAGCTCCTTGGCCCAGTAGGGCAGCATGTGTAAGAAACAGAGGTGTGTTTTTCTAAGTAGCCCAAAGCTGCCACCTGCTGCCTGGCTGCACACTTGAAGGGCTGCTTCCACTCCTTTCCTTTCCTGTTTTCTCCCCTCCCTCCCCTCCTCTCCTTTCCTCCTTCTTTCTTTCTTTCCTGGTACCAAGGATTGAAATCAGAGTCTTCACGCTGAGCTACCCACAACCCTTTTTGTAAATTTTTATTTTTATTTTTATTTTTTAATTTTATTGAGTTTATTGGTACATTTTAGGGATACAGTACAGTTACATTCATTGTTGGGATCATGTACCTCTACATGGCAAGTCTTGATTCTCTGTAAATTTTTATTTTGAGACAGGGTCCCACTAAATTGCTAAATCGCCCAGGCTGGACTTAAAAACTTGTGATTCTCCTGCCTCAGCCTCCCAGAGTGCTGGGATTACAGGCATAGGCCACCACACCCACTGAACCTTTTCTTGTAGAAAGGATAGACTATGAACTAATTGTCGCCCTGGCTCTTAGCTTTTCTTCCACTGGCCACTGGCCCCTCATTTGGGCTCTTGTGACACTCTCCATTGGACAGAGAGAAAAACTAAGTCCTGTGCCTGCTGCCACTAGCTTCCTTTGAAAGGAAATGCTCTGCTCATGTCCAGGCTGGCTCAGATGACTGGATCGCGGAGAGATCCCTGCTCTAGGGGTCCCAAAATCTAAGCCGACCCAAGTAGGTCCTTTGGCTTGAGAACCAGAACTAAGAGGCACAGAATGGAGAGGTCTGTCACTGCCAAGTCTTGATGCAGAGGTGGAGATTCAGCCACTCTGTGCAAGGAAACCAAGGAAGTCTGAAGTGAATAAGATGTAGACACTGCCTAGAGCCCACCATCCAAGGCTAAGAGGGTCAGTTCCATTCTCTTGAGACCCAGTCATTCCTGATTTTCCATCTCCAGGGTCCCTTGTGATCTGCTCCCCTTTCTTAGACCTAAATGGGTTATTGCACCCTGTGACCAGACTCCTTGCCAGAACAAGGACTTGGCCCCAAGGAGATTCCTGAGGTGTCCCCACTCTACAAGGCCCCTAGATTTCTCTCGCACCCCCACCCCAGCCCTAGCCCAGCAGAAGAGCAGGAGACCTCAGCACAGTCACATCTTTTATTCATTGTCAGTGGGAAACACACACACCACAGGGCACAGGGGTGGACAGTGAAGACAGTCACTGTGGGCACAACCAGAAGCGGCACATCCTCAGTAGGTGGGGATGACACTGGGGAACTCGTGGTGAGTTGGGCTCCCCGGCCATGCAGCCCCTCAGCTTCCCCAGGCTGCATCACTGCTGGGCCTAGTCCACCTGTGCCTAGCAGAAAGGGCCACAGCTGGACACCCTGTTCTGCCCCCAGGCTCTGGCAAAGATAAAAAGAAAACCCTGGAATTTTCAGAAAGAAAATCCTCTATTTTTGAGACTTTTAAACGGAGGATTTGAATTATTTCCTTCTTCAAGAATGATGAATAAAGTATGTAAGAAATGAACTCTTGTCCCTACAGTGATTTCTAAAATCAACACAAAGCCTCACCCAGGGTGGATCTTCAGGAAGTATTTGTTGCTTTAATAAACTTTTTCTGTAAAAATGTTTACAATGTCAGCTTGATGCCCTGCCTAGAAACACCAATTTCTTCCCTTACTCTCTTTCCGCCCCCACACTAGCTTCTCTCTCTGCAGCAGGATGATTTTCTATCTCTAGGGATCTCACCATTGCCAGGAAAAAGAAAGGATTTAGTGATTTTGCTTGTGAACTTATGTTCTGCTGAACTTTTGACTCAAGGGTAAATTAAATAATCCTGACTACAGTTCTGAGGACTGGTGTGGTCATCTGAAGGAACCTGTGCTGCTGATGATTTTTAGAGATTTTTTAGAGATAAGAAGTCCCATCACTTAGCCCCAAAAAGAAGAAATGAGGACAGTTATGTGAGAAGGCAGATTCCGGAACCTCATAACTCAGAGTAGCTGTAAGAAGATACGAAATTTCCAAGGAAACTTTGGCTATATCAATGACTTAACTGTATGAATATTTTTGTGTCTATGCAAGTCATTCATAAATCTCTGCTTGGTGGCAAGTCCCTCTGACCTGGGGCTGGGATGGGAGACTTGTCTCTCTTCTTAAGACAGGGCTGGTGCTCTACCACATGGACTCCTGAGCACACAGTCGTTGCGACACCCAAAAGGATGTGGGAGCGAGGCCTGGCCTGCCTGTGTCTCCCCCCATCGGTGAGACAGTCTCAGATGGGCCTCACACTGGGTTCACTCTGTTGGCCTGTCTGAAAACCCTTGGCCTGACTACCAAATATAACCCAAGGGTGGGTGTGTGTCCAGAAACCTGGAGTGATGGAACATGCTCTCATTGGTAGGACTTGCCCACCAACTTGGAAAAAAAACAAAATCATTCTCTTAGGAAAGAAGATGGTGGTAAAGACAATTCCAGGGTTCTGGGTCAGAGGTCTTTAAGGACAGCACTGGCCCATTAGCAGAGCTGTGCAGAAGCCAAACACAGGATGCTTGAAAATGTAGGGAACTCCAACTGAGCCCCTATGCCTTTTTGGAAGACCATAGCTTCAGGGACTTCTTAGCAGGAAGCTTATAAAAGATGAAAGCCTACTTGGCTTAGCCCACAGCTGACCTCTGCACAAATCAGACACAGAAATGAGCAGGGAAGAGAAGACTTCTCTTCGTGAGCCTTGGGTTCAAGTCTTGAAGTCTTGGCATCGTATCGCTTCCTGACTATGTGCTCTTTTTTGGGGGTACAGGGATCGAACTCAGGTCCTTGCATTTGCAAGGCAGGCAGCAGAACCACTGAGCTAAATCCCTGGCCCTGACTATGTGCTCTTTTTTGGGGGTACAGGGATCGAACTCAGGTCCTTGCATTTGCAAGGCAGGCAGCAGAACCACTGAGCTAAATCCCTGGCCCTGACTATGTGCTCTTGCACAAGGGAATGAAAATCCCTATCTTCCTGGGGCTGTGAGGACTGAATGAGATGGGGCAGAGAGCAAGCCTTTGAAAACCATGGAATTCCAAGGGATTGGGAGTTAGGCTCGATTCAACATCTTAGCAGGCAGGAACCCCATTTTGCAAAAAGCCTTCCACCAGAGTATTCAGGTCCTAGCTCAGACAGGCTGTGGAGCATTTGTATATCTGTGGTGCTGACAGCGCAAGACACAGCTAATAACCAGCTCCTGAGAGCAATGGAACATCTTTTGAGCCATTACTAGATAAATCCCTGCTAGTTACTACCTGAGAATGTGAATTCTCCAGCCTCACCACATGGTTTGGTCATAGGCAGGATAGAAAGGGGGTGGCAACCCAGTGACCTTGCTACCTCCAAGGGTCACAAGAAGGAAGGTCCGATAGAGCTTGGGAGCATAGGTCAGCATGCTCAAGTTTCCACCTGCAGAGCCAGCACAGGAGAGCTGTGGAAGTCAGGGACAAGCTGCATCTTGTTCCTGCAGATCCACCTCCCACCACCACACGCCCTGGCTCTGTGGTCACTCCCACCCTGGGTGGACATCACCCGTGTACTAGACTGATTTCACCCGCAGTTCAAGAGGAAGTCAACTGTCACTGCACATCAAAGCTAATTTCTGATTACGAGTACAGGAGAAAGTAAAGGGAACAACTTGATGGAGAAGCAAGATGAAATTTTTTGGCGGTCAAAGCATGCAGCTATACAGCTCACAGATTCAAAATCAGAAAGCAAAGCCAGTGCACTAGGAAGGTGATGCATTACCCAGTATATCAAGGATTGGAGGTTAGAAAAAGCCTTTCAAGTGGAGCATGCCCAGCACAGTTTCAGGCATTTGGTCTATGGATACAGCCTGGGAGCCTGATCAATAGCTAGGTGGTCCTTTTCTTCTAGCTCCTTCTGTATCTGAGGCAGTGAAAGAACAAGCCCAATCCCTCAACCCAAACCAAACTCAAGAACAAACCACCAAGGTGTAGGATATACACTTGTCTCATGCCTGGTGAACCTTGTTGTTTCTGTCTCTGAAGACAGCACCTAAAGTGTGCGATGAAGAGTCACTTGTTGGAATGACAAAGGTAATTAAAAGGAAGCAGAGGAAGCAGCACAAGCCGCTGATGGTGACCGCTCAGGACTCAGCCTGCGCCGCGCCCCGCCCCCCACAAAGGGTTATTTGTTAAGTCTGGTGGTATTTCCTCCCCTGTACCTCGGTTTTCCCCTGAAAAAATTAGCATTTTCTATATTCATTTAATCATTTTATAAGAAACCAAGTAATATAGAGTATATTTAATATTTTAACCTAATAAAATGGTTTTAGCTCTTATAAAGGGTACTAAAAAAATAAGTATCATATAGATTCTCATTTTTCTTAAAACTTCCACTCACATGGCTCCTAAACCTCCAAGTTCTTTTCATTTGGGTGGAGCTAGCTGGAAGATGCAATAGCTCCTCTTGAACCAGCCAACTTTCCTCCCTTTTCTTCGCAGCTGGGCTCAACATCCTTCTCCAAGACCCTGACCACCAGAAGTTGCCCTTTTATGAGCTTCCAGGGGGCACAAAATATGTCTTGTAAACTACCATATTCCTAGCACCTGAAGGTGCCTGGCATTAAATAAGTGCTCAATAAACATTAGCTGAAGAAAGGACTGAATGAACGCTCCAAAGGCTGTGGGCCAGAGAGGCCAGGTAGAGTCAAGGGGGCAGGGCAAGGACCACCTTTAAGGGATCTGAGTCCTTAGGAAAGGACAGACCCGATTTGGCCCTTTGGGGCCTGAGGGACCCCATTCCATAAAGTATAATCCCAGGAATAACAGGATTTCAAAGCAGAATTTTAAGCCCCCCTCCTTAACCCTGCCTTTCAGGGCAAAAGCCAACTCCACTATGGCCAAAGGATGTTGGTCTAGGCCAAGGCTGGAAGTGGGGCTACCTGACAGGATACCCGAGGACCTGTCTCTGTGGGTGAGGTGGTCCCTCGGGGAGCTGGACTGAAGGAGGGGCTTGGGCAGTGAAGTGGGTGGGCTAGAGAGTGAGGCTAGAGTGTCCCTCCCCCCGGGGAAGGGCCAGCAGAGAGGTCATCTGGTTGGGAGGTGGCCATGTCCCTCCTGGCCAGGGGCCCTGCCCCTCACCAGCTCCTACTTCTGCATGTCACACTGCAGCAGCAACACAATGGAGGGATCACTCTTGGCCGCCTCCTTGAACTCTTCCAGCGTAATCTGGTCATCCTTATCCTGGTCCATCTTCTTGAAGATCTTGTCCACACGTTGCTGGGGGGTGAGCCCATCCTGGTTCATACGCATCATGATCACAGTGCCCACCATCTTGTAGATAGCCTGGGGTGGGGACAAGGAGGAAGGTGTGAACACCCACACAAAACGGAGGATGGGGCCGGGGATTTAGCTCAGTGGTTCCGCTCCTGCCTTGCAAGCGCAAGGACCTGAGTTCAATCCCCGGTACCAAAACCAAACCAAACTAAAACAAAACAGAGAGGATGGGGGTGAATAAAAGGGATCTGGGAGTGGGTAGGAAGAATATTGGGGGATGGTGAGGTTATTGGAAGGTGATATTGGGCCGTGAAGATGAGATATTTAATGAGTACCTCAAACTAATCACACTTCAAACCCAACTCTTCACTCTGGCCTGAGCCTCCTCCAGCTTCTGTCTCAGTGAACAGCACCTCCATTCTGCCAGTTGTGCAACCCCAAACCCTACGTCATTCCTAACTCCCCTCCTTCTCACAATCCGCATCCAATTCTCCAGCCAATTTTGTCAGCCTTGGTCTTGCAATTGAGCCCACCCCCACCCACTTTCTACCACCTCCACAGCACCCCTTGACTGCAGCCTCTGCCTGCTCTCAACTGGCCTGGCTGCTCTAGAAGTCCCCTTCCTGGTCACCCAACTTCCGCTGCCCACTTCCCTTATCTGTTCTCCACACCCAGAACAAACTCAAAGTCTGAGAGCCTGAACATTGGGCTCCTGCTCTCTATCAGATCACTTTCCTGTCACTCTCCCCTCTACTCCTTTCTCCCTCACTAACCTGGCTGCTGGCCACTCCTTGAACCTTGTAAACGCAATTCACCTGCATTTACTGCTCCCTTTGCACTGGATCAGCTCCTCAACTGATTCAAGTTGCTGCTCTCTATTCACCTTGTACAAAATCACGTTTCCTTCCTCTTCGTATCCTCTTCATAGCACTGGCCAATATGGCATAGGTTTATTTATTTTTAAATTTTCTCACTAGAAGGAATCCCCCCGAAAGCAGAAACTTTTTTGGGGGGGGTGTCTGTGGTTTGTTTTTTGAGACAGGGTCTCACTATGTAGCACAGACTGGCCTTGAACTCGCTGAGATTCTCCTGTCTCATTCAGCCTCCCAAGTACTGGCATTACAGGTGTGCACCACTGTATCTGGCTGAAAGCAGGAACTTTGAATTGTACCTGGCACATGGTAAACACTCAAAACTTATTAGCCTAAAGAAGTGAATGAGTTAAGAATGTAAACTCTGAGCTGGGCATGGTGGTGCACGCCTGTAATCCTAGCACTGGGAAGGCTGAGGTGAGAGGATCATGAGTTCAAGACCAGCCTGCGTGACATAGCGAGCTCAAGGCAGGCCTGGACTTGAAAGCAAAACCTTGTCTCAAACAACCAAAACTAGAACACAACAAAACAACAGTCACAACAAAAACCCTTAGGCTCTGGAGTCAGGCTCCCTGATTTGAATCACAAACTATCACTTGCTATCCTTTTCCTCCTGTGTAAAATGGGGCTCCTGACTGTGTCTGCTCCTTCAGTGAAATACTTAGCCCAGAGCTTGCAGTGGGTTGCTGAACCCTGGCTGGGGAGAGGTGGGGTGCAGCAAGGTTCGCCTGAGGCCCTGGCCCCCTTCCCTGCTCACCTCGATGATCTCCAGCATCTCGAGGCGCGTGATGCGCCCGTCGCCGTCCAGGTCATACATCTCAAAGGCCCAATTGAGCTTCTGCTCGAAGCTGCCACGAGAGGTGACCGACAGCGCGCAGATGAACTCCCGGAAGTCGATGGTGCCGTCCCCATTCTTGTCGAAGGTTCGGAAAGCGTGCTGGGCAAACTTGGAGGCGTCGCCGTAGGGGAAGAACTGAGGCCGGGCGCAGGGTGGTGGGGTGCAGTCAGCTTCGCCCTCCCGCCGCCCCCACCCTCTTGGGCGCCCGTCCCACCCCTCTGGCCCCCTTAGTTGCCCTCTGCCCGCGCCCACCTTGATGTAGAGCTGCTGGAACTCCTCCAGGTTGAGGATGCCGCTGGGACAGTCCTTCAGGAAGCCCTTGTACCACTGCTTCAGTTCCTGCTCGCTGAACTCAGTGTTTTGTACCACCTCCCGCCGCCCCCACCCTCTTGGGCGCCCGTCCCACCCCTCTGGCCCCCTTAGTTGCCCTCTGCCCGCGCCCACCTTGATGTAGAGCTGCTGGAACTCCTCCAGGTTGAGGATGCCGCTGGGACAGTCCTTCAGGAAGCCCTTGTACCACTGCTTCAGTTCCTGCTCGCTGAACTCAGTGTTTTGTACCAGGTCCTCCAGCACCTCGGGGGCCAGCTTGCTGTTGGTCTTCCCCATGGCAAGGCCTGGAGGACAGGGGGATCCCTCAGCTTGGCCCAGGGCAAGGCCCTCACCTCGGCAAGCTTCCCCTTCCCCCTCCCCCTCCGCCTCTTCTCCACAGCGCAGCTTCCGTCCGGAGCCTGACTTTCTAGCCGGGATACCTCCCTCCTCCCGGGGTCCTCTCCTCTGGCCACCCACCCCAACAAGCCCCCCCACAGCACAGCAGGGCTCTGTCCTTCTCTCTCCTTCCCAGGGGAAGCCCACCTTGTCTGGTCCCTGCCCTCAGCCCCCATCCACAGCAAGCCCACACCCACACACCCTGCCATAACAGCACCACCTCTCTCCTCACATCACCCTGCACCCCAGGGGCCTGAGGATCTCCAGCCTTCCAGGTCTCCACTGGCCTCTCGGAGAGCCGTGCTGCCGCATGCCACATCCTTCATCCTCACCTCTCTTCTTCCACCTTCCATAGCTCCCCACACCCATAGCACAAACGTTTAACTCCGCTTCCTGCTATTCAGGGCTTTCCGAATGCAGTGCCTCCCTCCTGGGCAGGCTCCTCTCCTACTAGGACAAGAGACAGGTTCCTTATGGGTCTCCCTGATGCTGCCTCCCAAGTTCTTTTTCAACACCTTCCCAGCCACTCCAGTAGGAACCTCCCTCCCTCCTTCCCGTGTACAAGGAGCCATCAGCCTGGAGCTCTGATGACTCTGATTACATTGTTTTTGATTAACCCCTTCATCTCCTGCGCATTTATGGAGGCTGACTATGTGCTAGGCCTTGAGCTAGGGATGGAGGCAAAGCGAACACAAACCAACCTGCAGGACTCATAACTGGGCCAAAGAGGCGGATGGATGGTTGACTACAAAGAACCCTCAGTCCAGGCCAACGAGTTTGGACTTTACCACAGGCAACAGAATTGGGGAATTTTTAAGCAAGGGCTTTGAAGCTAACATTCATTCCACAATACTTACAGGATGCTCGCACTGTTCCGGGTCCTAATCTCAGTGGGGACCCAGAGAGAACAAGGCAGGGTAGGGAGTTTTTCTTTTAGCTATAGTGTACAAGATGACTTGGAGTCGGGGGACGTAGGCAGAGCAAGGAGGAACCTGATACACGGTTTTGGTGGCAGATGATGATGCCAGGACAGGGCCATAGAGAGAAATGGATGGGAAGAGATATCCTAAGACGGGGCTTGGTGACTGATTGGATGTTGGGGTGCAGGTGGGAGAAGGGTAGAGGCAGATGTTCAAATTGGGAGCTGAATGGATGCAGCAGTGTTTGCTGAGAAGTCCTCAGCCCCCAAAGTAGCCTGTGCCAGGGACAACACCTGCAGAGGGTGGCACAGTACCTTCCCTAAAGCCTAGCCAGGCCCTAAAGCTGAGTGGACACTTCTGAAGAGCGACCATGGGAATCACAAAACCTGGGTCTCCTAGACACAGCTTGGGATTTGCCTTTCACCTGCCTAGAGTTTCTTTAGAGGGTCCAGGCTCTCACTGCAGGTAAACTGTCCTCAAGAAACTGAAAAAGGAAGCCCTTTCGCAAAAGGAATTCCACTTCCACAGCCACCCCATGCCAGTGTGGTCTCTAATTCTTACTGTGGGGAATACCCTGAGTCGCCAGCTCTGTGGCTGGACAGTGTCACGCCCCCACCCTTTTGCTTGGAAATCTCAAGTTAGTTATCTCTGGGCCTCATGTTCCTCCACTGGGCCATGAGGAAGATCAAGGAGCAGCAAAACGGCAACATCCCTCACCTACCACCCCCAGAGGGTGAGGCATCCCATTCCCTCAGGATAGCTAGGGGGTGGGGAGGTGTGCCATCTTCAGGAGCCTGGTGCTGCGGGGTCCAAAACAGCCCCACTGGGGTCAAAGTCAAAGGTGCCCCTGGAACACCCACAGGCAGAAGCGAGCAGGGTCCCCAGCTGCCCCCTCCTCAGGTTCAAAGATTCTGCAGGCTCAGGGTATCGGGAAGGAAGCTGGCAAACCCGAGCAGCAGAGGTGTGCACTGGGGGAGGCAGAGCTGCTCCCCACGTCTCTCGTGCACTGTGCCTGAGTGTCTGCGTGAGGAACCGGGTCTGTGTGGGAGGGTGTCAATGTATGAGACTGCAAATCTGTCAGGATGCACACATCTCTGCATGCGCCGTGGTGTCTGTGTGTGGCCCTCACCTCTTGCCCGTTTCTCCTGCCCTGTGCTGCCTTCCCCACATTTCTGTTTTATCCCTGTCCCTACTTGGTCCCATACCCAGTGTGGCCTAGGCCTCCTCCTCCGTTTCTTCTCAGTTCCTCCACTGCTCTTAGTCAGAGGTCAAAGCTGACAGAGCCCTTTGAGGTCCCCTTATTCCTAGTGAACAGTGAAACTGAAGGAAAGGAGAACACTGGTTCAGGGTTACGCAGCAGGTCAGTGAGGGATCCTGATAAGTACCCAGGCCGAATCCCTGCCACCTGCCTGGCCCACCCTCTCCACATCATGGCTACTCTGGTTCAACACAAACCTTCTCCCATTTGCTTTCTGGGAAAATCAGCTCTGATCTTCCTTTTGGCTTCAGTGGGATTATCTTGCCTGACCTCCGGGCCAAGATCTCTGATATCCAGAAATATCCACCCTGGTGCTGGTGCCACTAGTCCGCAAGTAACCATATCTATAGCCAGACTCACCCTAAACCTGAGACAACCTGTCTCTCTCCGTTGCCCCTTCCCTCTTTCCCTCATCCCTCGGTTTTGGTGGAAACATGACCTGTAAACTACTTTAGATCTCCTCTCTCCCTTCCCCAGGTCCAACATGCCATTAAGTCCTGTGGTTTCTTCTTTTGAAACACTCCTGGAATCTTCACTATGTCTATGGCCAGGGGCACAGCTATGAGGCTCAAATATACCTGGGGCTCTGCTTGCAAAGCCAGGCCCATGCCCAAGAGGCTCATCTGCCTTGCAGGAAGTGCCTTCCTCCTGACTCCCCTGTGCCCACAGAACGCCTCTCCCCACCCGCAGAGATTACAATGTAGGGTAGAGGTAGCCACGATCATGAGCCCTCTGAAACTCCAGAATTTTCTAGAATCTGGTCTCAAGGTGTCCACCTGGCATCCTCAGCTTCCATTGCTCCCCTTTACTCTCTCAAGCCAGGTTTCTCTCAACCAGGACGTGCATCATCTATCTGCTTAGCTAGTTTCCTCCCCGCCATCATCCTCTTTTCTCTTCTGGACTCACACAAGCTGCATTCAGCCTTGAGGCCTGGCTGAAACCTGCTTCCTTATGATCAGCCTTTTCAAGCTTGGCAGTGGCCAGGCAGAAGCATGGGCTCAGCACTCTGGGCACGAGTAGACCATATGAGGCAGAGAAGTGGGACCCCCCACAGCCATATAGCCCTCTGGCCCTCATCTGGTGCTCTAGGTTTCCAGGAGAGGGCTTTGCATTCAACCTCTGCCTGAGCCAGGCAAAGTTCTCTTGGGCTTTTTGCTCAATGATAAAGAGTTTATCCTCTCCTAGTAGGATCCAGAACACTTTTAAGCAGCTTGGACAATAGGAGAAGTGCTTTTCCCATCGTTCCTGAGTTGGCTCTTGTGCGGCTGTCACCCACAGGCTCCAGCCTTGCCCTCTGTATCTGCACAGAGTGCACTGCAGAGACATGAAGGAAGAGCCTGGGGCTCAGCCATGCCCAGTGGCTGTATCCAAGTAGATTATGCGAGAGGACCAGAGCCCCCTTTCCTCCTTGGAACTATGTCACCCTGTTTTGTTTATTTGTGCTCTCTTTCTAGTGCACCTCTTGGAGATAATGGAACTCAGAGCCAGGAAAGGAAGGGTTCACCCAAGGTCAACTAGAGCCCCGTCTGCAGCAAATCGAAGGCCAGAGCCCAGCAGAGGGCATGTTCTGTTGGAGCTGTGGCCTCTGAAGAGCTGTCCTCCAGCTAAGAAGATGCTGGCCCCGCCCCAAGCACAAAACCACTGCCCCTCCGCGGTGAGAGGCTTCTTCGAGAGCACTCGGGGTTTGGGGCTTCAAAGAGAGAAAGGGCAGTGAGATTGGGAAGGACTGAAGGAGGCAATAATCCCACACCCTCGCCTAGCTTCAGAGGAGCTGGTGCTGAGGCGGTTGCCATGGTGACAAAAGCTCCCTGGTCAGGAGATTTTCTCTTTCCTCTCCTCCCTTTGCTGTTCTCCAAGCAGCAGCAACAGCAGTAGCAACCAGATCTTCTCTCTCTCCTTTTTAAGGAGAAGCAGGGGATGACAAAGGGTGAGCCCTGTTGGTCACCTCCAATTTGGAGCTATCCATGCTAGGAGTGGGCTGGTAGTCCAGGAGAGACTCCTAAGAGAAGGAGAAGGGAAGGCATGTAGGAAGGGGTGGCCTGCACCCAGGCCTAGGTAAGCCCCTAAGTCTTTACTCTGAAATGTTTTAGTGGTTCAGAGCCCCGTTTTCCCAAATCAGTCATCAAACCAGAGTGTGTCAGTGTTGGGAAGCCATTCAAGATCATTTCAACCAGTTCACCCTCTTTCCTGTTCCCTTCCCTATATCACAGAGGACCAGGGAAAAAGTGACTTGGCCACTGAGGCAAAGGCAAGATTTGCGCCCAGCTCTTCTGCCTTTCAGGTTCAGGGCCTCTGAAGGAAAGGAGCAACACAGTACACATGAAGCTTCAGCATGGTCCCTGTGGGGGCAACAGGAAGATGACAGAGAGCGACTACCAGAGAGGTAGGATTAGAAGGAAGTGGAATTTGGGGTTGTGGGATGAGGGGACTTGGTACTTCGGCTGTGAGGGGAATGAGGAGAGGAAGTGTGGGGTCTGGAGCCCAGGCACCTACTGTGGGGCACAGGTGTTCCCTGGGAGTAGGGGTGTCCCTGCTTCATTCTCCAGCCAGGAAAGAGGCCAAAAAATGGGGCCTCCGCCTAGTACTGGGGGTCCCTGGCGGTGGCGCTGCTGAGACTGTCTGCCAGCAGGGAGCGAGGGGAGGGGTCCCTTCTTTGCTCCCTCGAGTGTGCTGTGAGCTGGTCAGCCTTGAAGCGGAAGTGGGGCCAGTGTGAGCAGCGGGTGGGCTCTCTGTGGAGTGGGGGAGTCTCTGGGTGGTGTGAAGGGCGGTGAACTGCTGCTGTGGGTGGGGACTATCTGGAGGTGGGAGGTTGCCACAGAGCTGGGCAAGCTACTCATCTCCAAACGCAACAGGAGGGAGGGTGACTTGTGCCTCCCCTAGCACCAGCTACACCCCATCCCCAGGTGTGCGTGCCTGTGTGTGTGTGTGTGCGTGTGTGTGCGCGCGCGCGCGCCCCCGAGCTGAGGGCTGAGCAGTGGTCGTTACCCCCAGAGTTGGGGGTAAGGAAGCGACTCTGCTTCCTTTCCTGGACTCGGGGACCGACCTGAGGGGGAGGGATCTCCAGATGCCGCCGCCTGTGGTGGACCCAGGATCAGAGACATGGATCGGCAGCAGAAGAGGATGGGAAGGAAATTGGGGGGGGGTGGAACCCAGGGCCTCCGCCCGGCGGGGTGACCCCTAGGACCGAGCCCCACCCGCATTACCTGAGGCCGCTTGCCGGTCGGGACGGCTTCGAGCCTCCGCGGGCGGGCAGCGGGAACGAGGTTGGCTCGCGGGCAAGCTGCTGGGCTCTCCAAGGTCCGCGCCGGAGCCGCCTCCCAGCTCTGGTATCACTATGTGCCTCTCGGAGGCGACTCGATTTGCATGAGCTCCGCCCCATCCCAGGCAGTATGGATGTCGATTGGCTGCGCTGGGGCCGAGTGGCAGGCGGGGTTTCAGGTGGCTTTGGGGTGGGCAGTGAGGACTGGTACGGGAGCGCGCCCCGCCCGCCGGTGCTGACCTTCCTTGAATCGCCAGAATGGGAAAAAGCTTTACCCCCATCTGTACCCCAGTCCTGAGACTCAGACCCCGGGGCGCAGTCTACAGTGAAAAATACCCACGATCGAAGTGGATTCGCAAAAGCAACCGCGCCGTTGCTATGGAAACGGGAGAACCACAGCCGAATCTCTCAGCTTTCTCTTCCTGGGCCCCAGCGGTGGTGGGGGTGGCAGGGGGGGTGACTCACAAGGTGAGACCCTCCCCCCAATATTCACACCGGATATTGGAGGGAGACAAAGAGGAGCTGCCCAGTGCCAGGGTAGGGAAGAGAAGCGACGGGGCAGTTCGCAGCTCTGGCCTTCTCTTCACTCGCCTCCCACCGCCCCCCTCCGGCGGCGGAGGGGAGCTGACGGTGGGTGCGAGCGCAGGGCGCAGTAAGGAGGGTGAGGAATCCCCTGCTCTCTACCTGGTCCCTCCCTCCAGCCACCCTTCCCAGACAGGCCCCATTCTTATTTCTCGAGGACCAGGACCTCTCTCGGGTTCTCCCCCAGAAGGACCCCTCCATTCCCCACCCTCCTGTGTTCCAGTCTCCAGTCTCCGGCCTCGGATGTTGACACAAACCCGAGGCGGTTTACACTGAGTGGGTCTGGAAGGTTTCAGGGACCTGAGAACACCTCCTCCCCGCATTGGGGGTCTCCCCAAAGCCCAGCCTGGCAATCCAGACAGCAGAGACTTCTGAGAGCTCCCAAGCTACGACGTGGAAAAGGAAAGCAATCCTTTTATGCCAGATTGGGGGCCAAGGGGAGCAGCTATCCCTGGCCCGGCCACGTGCGAGGGCGGGACTTGTAGGGATCTGTCAAAAGTAGGGGCGGGGCGCCTGGGGACTGGTCGAATGGGATCGAGGATGGAGAAGAGCACGGTGAAGACGCCGGGCTTCTGCCCAAGGCGCAAACGAAGAGATGGGCGGGGCGATGGGGGATGGGGACACGAATGCCACCGCTGAGGCGAGGCTTCTGGGGCTGGTCCCAGAAACTCCCGGGACAGGCTTGCCTGGGAGGCACCGGTGGACCCTCTTTAGGAACCAGCCCACTCTTTCTTGAACTGGTTTTGCTGGCCCGTTGTCTTGGCAGGATATCTTTCCTCCTCCCTCCCTAACAGGGATTGGGACCTCCACGGTGTCCGACTTTCCAGGTAGAAGGTACATGCCTGTCACCTTCAATTGATGACAGGTGTTTAAAAGCCCTAACTCTTTCACTTCCCAGGCGCTTTGTCTGCTCTTGGCCCACGGGACCCACAGATGGGCACAAATTATACCGTTTAAGTTAAGCGTAATTCCAAGCAAAGAAGCGGGAGGAGGGAGCATAAATTGCTGGAAGTGGTATCCAACATCCTAAAATGTAGCCCCACTTCTGCCAGTGATTCCTCACATGACCATAAGCAAGACTTAACTCTGGGCCTCCCATTCTGTAAAGTGTGAGAACTGGTCCAGGAGACCCCATGGACACGGGAAGAATGTCAGGTAGGAGGATGAAGGAAGTGTCAGGTAGGATAAAATTATGTGGGCATGAATCTGACAGCTCCGCTTGTACTCTTGAGCCCCTAACGATAGCCAACATATATTGAGAGCTCACTCTGTGCCATGTGCTATTCTAGAACTTCACAGTAGTCCTCTTTTATATGTAGTTTCACTTTTTGTTTACCTGTAGTAAATCATTGCCCAAAAATATTAAATGGAAAAATTCCAGAAAGAAACAATTCCTAAGTTCAAACTTGTGTGCTGTTTTCAGTAGCATGATGAAATCTCATGTCATTCATCTCCATCCCTTCGTCCTGGCTGGACAGGAATCATCCTTCTGTCCAGGGTATCCATACTGTATACACTACCTACCCATTAGTCACTTAGATGGGCTATAGTAGAGCTTGTGTTCAAGTAACCTTTATTTTATTCACTAATAGCCACAATCAGAGTAGTGATATTGGCAGTTGGTACATGCCAAAGAGAAGCCACAAAAGGCTTTCTTTAAAGCAAAAAGGTGAAAGTTCTTGATTTAAAATGAAGGAAAGGGCCAGAGTTTTAGCTCAGTGGTGCCATCACCTGTCTTCCAAGAGCAAGGTCCGGACTTTGATCTGTAGAACCAAAAAGTAAAATAAAATAGAATGAAGGGGAAAATGTATGCTAAATGGTAAGATCCTCAATAAGGACAAATGTTCCATCCATGAAATTGTGAAGAAGAAAAAAGAAATGTGTGGAAATGTGTGCCTGTTTCATTTTCACACCTCAAATTAAAAGTCATGGCTTAGTTAAAATGAAACAGGCATGCAGTGATAGAGTTCAGTATTATCTGCAGTTTAGGAATCCACTGGACATCTTGGAACATGTTTCCCATGGATAAAGGGGGACTAAAATATATGTGTTATCTGATTTATTTCCTGGAAGAATTCTGTGAGACAGGTGCTATATTACTCCCACTTAACAGATAAGAAAATTGGGGCACACAGCAATTAGGTGGCTGGCCCAAGTACACATAGCAAGTAAATCTACAGGGCTGAGATTTGAGCCCACCCAGTGGCTCCAGAGCCCACACTCCTTGCCAGTATACAATACTGTTTCTCCTTAAGATCCTTCAAGCTCTTAAGGAAAGCAAACTTGGATTGAAATATTCATTTCTGATTTCCCAAGCCATTAGAAAGGCAAAGTCCAACCTTCTGAAGCAGCTTCTTGGTTTCAGATGAACAAGACATAGGATTCCCACAGCACAAGAGAGCAGGCAGTAATGACTACAGTGATAAGTCTTCCTGACCTGTGACGTGGCTCTCCTGTGACTATCTCCATCCTCTGGGTAGGACTACCCATGCAACCTCACCCATGGATCTTGATGCCCTGTCACTGGTCCCAAATTACCAATCATAACCCATTTACACCTGCTCGTGATGCTTGACTCTGAGGCCCTGGTCCCCTTGGGTTTGATATTTAAAGCAATAAGCTGGCCTTGACTGAATTGCTTCAGTGTTCCAGGCTCTCCATCATGTCCTTTACTACATCATTTCATTTAATCCCAAGGATGACCAGTCAGGGATGATATTAAAAATATCTAACTATCCATCCAGGCTCTTAGCGTTACCACTCAGAATGACTGCAGCGCTAGATTAAGGTTTTAGTAGCCCACTGTTCTGTGAAGAGTTAACACCTGAATTATGCAATCAAGATGGTCAGAGAGAGAAGAAGTTAATTTTGTAGGGGACCAAAGGCTGTGATTATTTATCCACTAGTCAATTGGAAGAAATCTGATGTTTCACAACCGGTTCTGCTGCGCTGGTACATAGGAAGAGAATTTGAGTGTTGGTATCATTACTTTATTTCATGGTAGAAGATGGGGCTCTGAGAGATTAGACAATTTATCCATTGTAACTCAGCTCATTCATCACAGAGCTGAGATTCCAGGCTAGGTCTGACACCAGCACCCACACATTTAACACTGTATACTGGGGAAGGGGTAGCATGCATGACTGGGCTGGGGTTCCCTCTGTCATGCAGCTGAAGGCTGAGCCTGAGGCTTGTAGTTTATGTTGTGGGGCTTTCTTGGGGCCTGGCTGTTCTTGTGGTGTGGCACACACCCATTGCGAGTACAATGAACAAGTCCACATGGAACAAAGTGCATGGGAGGGACAGGGTGGCTGTGCAAGGGACCTCAAAGAGGGCCACTGAGGGCACTGAGCCCGGCATAGCAAAAGTGAGAATGAAGCAGTGGCCACTTCATTTTGTTTCACCAAGTGCTAGCATTTCTCTCTCCCTTGTCTAGAGTATCTTTATGATGGATAATGCCTCTCTGATTCCCTGGGTTTTCTCTGTCATGACTAGTGCGACCTGGTGACAACTGGAATTCCCCTGGGTCCTAGATAGTTCACTCTCTCCTTCGTGGCTGGAAGTGAGATCACCAGAATTTAATTCTTTCTCTGTCTCCTTTGAGGTAAACAGGACTTAAAAATTTTTTTTCCAAAATAGAAATCGATCATATTGTCTCTCCATATTTCTAGTTCTCTGTATGTATGTGTGTGTCTCCATATCTTTCTTTAAAAAAATTTTAGAGCCGGGCCTGGTGGTGCACTCCTGTAATCCCAGCACTCAGGAGGCTGAGGCAAGAGATTCGCTGTGAGTTTGAGACCAGCCTGGGCTACACAGTGAGTTCCAGGTCAGTCTCAACTACATAGTGAGACCCTGTCTCAAAAAACCAAAAAAAAAAATGTTTTTTAGAAAAATAACCATATTCATAGGGAATTTGTTCCTTTATGTAATATATCTTGAGTCTTCTTTTTTCCCCAATCCCCTCTCCTCCCTTAAATCCTTCTCTTCCTCTTTATTTAGAAAAGCTTTGTTTCCATTTTCCCTTCTATTATCTTGCTTCCCCCTTCCTTCCTTTCCTCCTCCTCCCTCCTTTGTTCCCCTTCCCATTTGAACATTGTCTTCCCCTTCCCAATATCTATTAATATTTTGGTCCTTATATACCTTTTTGGTTTGTCACACCAGAGAAACATTGCAATATTTAAACATAATGTGTCTGATCTATTTCACTTAAGAGTATGGTCTCAAGGTATGTCCATTTACCTAGAAATGTCTCAAGTTTATCCTTCATTATGGCACAGTAGTACTCCATTGTATAAAAAAAAAACCCACATCTTCTTTATCCATTCATCCATTGATGAGCATTTGAGCTGTTTCCAAGATTTAGCTATTACAAACTGTGACACTATAAACCCGGGTGTGCATGCATCGCTATGGTATGATGCTTTTAATTCTTTCAGGAAGATACCAAGAAGGCGAATAGCTGGGTCAAATGGAACCTTTTAACTAAAAACGTTTTAGTGTTTTGAGGAATCCCCGCACTGATTTCCACAGTGACTGCACCAGTCTACACTCTCACTAACAGTGGAGAAGGGTTTCTTTTGCCTCATAGCCCCACCAGCATTTGCTATTGTTTGACAACAGCCATTCTTTCTGGAGTCAGATGGAATTTCATGTTGTTTTAATTTGCAACTCTTGAATGAACAGTGATGTTGAATATTTTTTCATATATTTATGTGCTGTCT